ATCATCCAAAACGTTATGGAACACGTTAATTAACTGAAAAATGTTGCATAGTGTGCCTTTAACAAGAAAAACTCCTCATTAAGCCTCATTTAGTCGGGAACAAAGCTATGCTCAATTGTTGTGTCACGTGACCAAATGATCTCATTTCATTGGCTAGAAGCTGATTGCTTTGCCATCAGTTCGACAAAAGGTCAACACATTTGCAGTCGATTTTTTTGCAGGCAAATTTTTTGCAGCTGAATTTTTCGCAGCTGAATTTTTGCAATTTACCAGATAAAACTTCAGTGTAAGGAATTTGCTGTTAAAAAAATTCAGTATTTAAAATTCGGTATACAAAAAACAGCAGTTCCAATGAGACTGTTTTTCTTCTCAAACCATGTCCTACTTTTCCTGACTGCAGGACGATGGAGTGCCACAGAAATGCAGCCCGCGGTGCAGATCTTGACTATCCACCCATGGACTCTGGCGGGTTAAGCCCTGCACCTCGACCTCCACCATGGCTGGAACCCCCACCACCATATGAAGTTGCCATCAAGACCACCTGTAGCTCTACACACCTGCGGCGTGCATATTCAGACACGCACCTGGCAACAGAGCCCTTGTTTGGACAGTCCAGAGAGATTAGCTTTGAGGTGTGACACCTCCTTTACTCTGTCTGTCACACCAGAGGATAAGTAGGCTACATTTCTGTTAGCTCATTAATGAAGAATTCATTTGAAGCCTACTTCTTCCTGGTTTACAGCATGTTTTTTTTTCTAATTTAATAATTTAAACCTGATAAAGATAGTTGGAGGGTTATCAAAGCAAAGAAAAGCCTTGCAAGCTAACATTTTAAAACTTAAAAACCCTTGTCTAATGCTAACAAATGCTGAACAAACTTTAAAGCCACACTTAGTGGTATAATATTGTTTTTAGGAGGATTTAACAACTGAATTTTCATCATTATACATCAAAGCTTTTACAGATCCATTCATCCATTTTCCATCGTGCTTCTCTCTGCTGGGGTTGCAAGGAGAATTTAGAGACACCAATTAATCTAACAGTCATGTTTTTGGACTGTGGGAGGAAGCTGGAGTACCTGGAGAGAACCCACGCATGCACAGGGAGAACATGCAGACTCCACACAGAGAGACCCTGGGCCAGGAATCGAACCCAGAACCTTCTTGCTGCAAGGCAGCAGTGCTACCCACTGCGCCGCCCGCTTTTACATATAATATTATAAATGAAGTATGAACAAAGAAATAGCCACAGCATGTTAGCTTGGCTTAGCACAACTTAGTTTAGCGAACCACCGTGACAAGGTGAGTTTCAATGAGTGAAATGGGCGAGTTAATAAAGATAAACTATTTAATGGTAGCATATCAGTTGACTTATAGGTTTTATTTACTTAATTCAATGTTATTTTGTATTGAAAGCTTTAATAAACCATCTCTATTTGCATGAGGCTACTTTATTTTAAAGGGGCAGGCCTCAGTTGAGACCCCTGATCTTTAATGCAGCTTAAATTACCGAGTTACAGCAGAGAAACCAAAGAACTTGTCTTTTCTGACTGGAGCTACGTTCATTCATCTTTGGTGCCTCTCATGTGGGTCTAATACTAAAGAAGATGAAAAGATGAAAGCATTGATTGATTCACCTTTGGAGCTAGATTTAATGGGAATTTAAGGATTTTTTTTAATCCATCCTCCTGGTGCTTTTGCACAATGCAGTGATACTTAAAAGTCTATAAATGCAATTTAATGTTAAAAATGACACCATGATGTGTAATGTTTAATATTTTCCACATATAACATGACAAGTTATCTACGCAATGCAATTGAAAAGCAAATAGATTTGCCAGAAGTGAGGGAGGGTTAACGAAAGAGAAGGCTGCATAATTGTCCCCATCCTTCATTGTTAAAGACATTTTGACCTGCTAATATTTGCTGGATCTATATTTTCTTGCAAAAGTTCCCTGAATTCAATTTAATTCTATTCAGTTTA